CCTTGAAAGTCAGGTAGAAGAGTTTAGACTTTAGCTGAGATCCCTGGGGAGTCAATGAAAAACATAAATACAGACTCACATACAGGTTACTGATACCCGGATGAGAAGGGGCAGAGGTAAAAGCAGAAACAGTGAGGTCCTGGATTATAGCCATTAAGACCTCAGTAGTGAGAAGGGAGAGGAAGCCTGGGAGAGAGATAGAGAGAGGCAGGACTTGGTGGTGACTCACTAAGCTTGAGAGAAAGGCCTGGGGAATAAGTGAGGCTGTGAAGCAGTGGTAACCATTGCAGGCTCTGGAAGATGAGCTACTCTGAGAGGAGGGAGACTAGTTTGAGGTGCCTGTGGGTTACCTTGTTGTAGCCTCTCTTCCTTCTTGGTTTAGTTCACGGTGTGCTTGCGTCGGGAAGGACGGACTGTGTACCAGCAAGTCCTGTCTGTGGAGCGCCCAAGTGTCCTGCGCAGCTGGAACTGGGGCCTTTGTGGGTACTTTGCATTCTACCACGCTCTCTATCCCCGAGCCTGGACTGTCTATCAGCTTCCTGGACAGAAGGTCACTCTCACCTGCCGCCAGATCACACCCATCTTGCCCCATGACTACCAGGTGAGATCCCCGTGTTTCCTCCCATTGTCCTCCCTTCCCTGGGATCTCTCTCTGCTGGAAATTCCATGACCTGTGAAAGAAGGGGCTGGTGCATGAACATCATGCTGATTTCCCAGGACCTCCGTCCAACTGGTCTTCTGTCTCATGGTAGACAGCCTGCCTGGGAATATGAAGAGATGCGAGTGGAAGATGAGAGAGTATATTTGGGAGTATTTGAGTCAAATCCTTGGTGCCAAGGATTGATCCTGGGGTGTGAGCCCAGGAGGGTATACATGGACTGAATCTGATCTTTTGCTCCCAGGACAGCAGTCTACCTGTAGGAATCTTTGTGTGGGATGTGGAAAATGAAGGGGACGAAGCCCTGGATGTGTCCATCATGTTCTCCATGCGAAATGGATTGGGAGGTGGAGATGATGCCTCAGGGGGTTTGTGGAATGAGCCCTTCTGTCTGGAGCGTGACGGGGAGACAGTACAGGGGTTGTTGCTGCATCATCC